GGGCTCCCAGGGACTCCAGGGGGCTCCGGGGGGATCCCGGGGGGCTCCGGGGGGCTCACCGGGCTTGCGGGGAATGCTCAGCTCCAGCACGGGGCCGAAGGGGGCCAGGAGAGCCTGGAGCTCCTCCTCGGAGCTCTGCAGAGACAGCGGGGACAGGGGGTCACTGCGGGGTCAGGGGGTCACTGCGGGGTCACTGCAGGGTCAGGGGGTCACTCCGGGGTCAGGGGGTCACTGCGGGGTCAGGGACACCCTGCAGAGAGGGGAGCACTGGGGGGCTCTGGCCATGAGGGGCACTGGGGGTCTGGGGGTCCTGGGGCCTTCAGGCGCTGCTGGGGCGGCACCCTGGGAGCAGTGGGGCACTGGGGGGGTCTGGGGGGACCCTGGGCACGGGGCAGGGCGGGGAGGGTCCCTGGGGGAGTCCCAGGGGGACTGGGGGCACTCGGGGGATGCCAGGGGGCATTTGTGGTATTCCCGGGGGTCCTGGGGCTGTCCCAAGGAGGGGTCCGAGGGGGTACTCGGGGGTCCCGGGGGATGCTCGGGGGTCCCAGGGATTCCAGGGGGTTCCCAGCGGGTACTCAGGGATCCCGGGGGTCCTGGGGCTGTCCAGGGGGTCTGAGGGGGTACTCGGGTGTCCTGGGGGACGCTCAGGGGTCCTGGGGGATACTCGGGGGTCCCGGGGCTCCCAGGGGGATACTCTGAGGTCCCGGGGATTCCAGGGGGTTCCCAGGGGGTACCCAGGGATCCCGGGGGTCCTGGGGCTGTCCCAAGGAGGGGTCCGAGGGGGTACTCGGGGGTCCCGGGGGTCCCTGGGGTCGGGGTGCCCTGACCTGGAAGCTGAGGTTGCGCAGGATCAGCCGGGCCTTGCGGGAGGGGCCGCGCGGGCCCTTGGGGCGGGGGGCGCGGGGGGGCTCCCCCTGGGCGGCCCCGGGCCCCCCGGGCCCCCCGGGCCCNGAAGGTGACGAAGCCGAAGCCCCGGCAGCGCGGGGAGCCTGCGGGAGGGACCCCAACCTGAGACCCCAACTGAGACCCCAACTGAGACCCAAACCGGGCTGGGACCCCAAACTGAGACCCCAAACTGAGACCCCAACTGAGACCCAACTGAGACCCAAACTGAGACCCCAACCTGAGACCCCAACTGAGACCCCAACTGAGACCCCAACTGAGACCCCAACTGAGACCCCAACTGAGACCCCAAACTGAGACCCCAACTGAGACCCCAAACTGAGACCCAAACCGGGCTGGGACCCCAAACTGAGACCCCAAACTGAGACCCCAACTGAGACCCCAACTGAGACCCCAACTGACACCCAAACCGGGCTGGGACCCCAAACTGAGACCCCAAACTGAGACCCCAACTGAGACCCCAAACTGAGACCCCAACTGAGACCCCAAACTGAGACCCAAACCGGGCTGGGACCCCAAACTGAGACCCCAACTGAGACCCCAACTGAGACCCCAACTGAGACCCAAACTGAGACCCAAACTGAGACCCAAACTGAGACCCCAAACTGAGACCCCAACTGAGACCCCAACCGGGCTGGGACCCCAAACTGAGACCCCAAACTGAGACCCCAAACTGAGACCCCAAACTGAGACCCCAACTGAGACCCAAACCGGGCTGGGACCCCAAACTGAGACCCAAACTGAGACCCCAACTGAGACCCAAACCGGGCTGGGACCCCAAACTGAGACCCCAAACTGAGACCCCAAACTGAGACCCTAAACTGAGACCCCAAACCGGGCTGGGACCCCAAACTGAGACCCCAAACTGAGACCCCAAACTGAGACCCTAAACTGAGATCCCAAACCGGGCTGGGACCCCAAACTGAGACCCCAAACTGAGACCCAAACCGGGCTGGGACCCCAAACTGAGACCCCAAACCAGGCTGGGACCCCAAACTGAGACCCCAACTGAGACCCTAAACTGAGACCCCAAACTGAGACCCCAAACTGAGACCCCAACTGAGACCCCAGACCGGGCTGGGACCCTAAACTGAGACCCCAAACTGAGACCCCAAACTGAGACCCCAAACTGAGACCCTAAACTGAGACCCCAAACTGAGACCCCAGACTGGGCTGGGACCCCAAACTGAGACCCCAAACTGAGACCCCAGACTGGGCTGGGACCCCAAACTGAGACCCCAACTGAGACCCTAAACCGGACTGGGACCCCAAACTGAGACCCCAACTGAGACCCCAAACCGGGCTGGGACCCCAAACCGGGTTGGGACCCCAGACCAGGCTGAGACCCTCAAAACCAGCCCTGCCCTGCCCCAGGCCCTAAACCTGCCTGAGACCCCAACCGGAGTGGGTTGAGACCCCCAGACCAGCCCTGCCCTGCCCCAGACCCCAGTC